TGCATCAACCAGCACAATTACATCCGCTACAATAGTTGCATCAACCACCATAGTTCCAACTACCACAATACTTACATCAATCACAACAACTCCATCAACCATCAAAGTTGCATCAACTACCACAATTACATCCGTCACAACAGTTCCACTAACCACCAAAGTTGCATCAACCACAATACTTACATCAATTACAACAGTTGCATCAACCACAACAGTTCCACCAACCACCACAGTTCCATCTACCACCATGATTGCATCCACTACAACAGCTACATCAACTGGAATGTCTTCAGAAGCAATACGTCAAGAAATTAGCTTAATTATTTTATTCAGTTTAATGATCCTCATCGCACAATTTTAGTGAAAAAGACTCATGACTAAAAATTTTTTTTTTTCTTTTTATTTTTTTCAATGCCATTTATAATCAATATATTTATTAAAATTATTTATTACTTGTGTTACAGACAGTTTTGTTTTCTATCAAATAGGTCTACTACGAGAGCATAGACAAGAATAGATGATTGAATGAAGATATCATAATAGTTAAATCTCGTCACATTTTAAATGAACCTAAACTTTTAACTTTATATTTCAATAAAATAGTTATAAAAATTTGAATAGTCAATGACAATAGTATAATAGATAGACTTCTATTCTTTTTCATTCCTAGAAGCTATTTCAATGTATTTAACTTGATATTAGTAGATATTTAAAATATTTATTCTATTGATTAAGGTTGTGTAACTATGGTATCCTCGAAATCAAGGCATACTATTCAAAAAGAAATAATTTATTTTTCAAGATTACTATTGACATATTTTCAGTACATCATAACTTTTAAAGAAAAAATCTAGAGGTCATAAAAAACTGAAGACTCGTTATATAAAAGAATACAATTGAAGAAAATTAATTTCCTTTTTATTATATTGAAAAAGAAATTATTTAAGTATCTATGAATATTAACGATGTCATTTCTTTTACTTTAAATATTAATAATATTTCTTTTCATTTATTGTGGAATTACAACAATATTCTTTTCATTATTAGTTATTATAATAATTATACGTCATTGGCGATCTCAATTTCGATCACCTTCGAATCTTCTTATTTGTAATTCATGCGTTGCACTTTTCACAACTAGTTGTGTGTTCATAGCAGAAATTCCATTTATTATTCAAGATAATCTTTATACAATGCAAAATATAAATATATTATTTTGTAAAACTTTAGCTTGTTTATTAACATTTAGTAGTGGAATTTTAACATATTCTCATCTTATTCAAGCTGTTGCTTGTTTTTTTATGATAATTCTTTATAAACATCGAATTCTTCTTACATTTTATATTCATTGGTTAATGATTATTATAAGTTATATAATCAGTGGAATTATTGCTAGTTGTATGTTTATTTCATCATTATCTTATCAATATGAACCTGAATCTCATATGTGTATTCCGACATCAAAAAATTTTATTACATCATTTATGATTGCTTTGATTAATTTTATTTTTCCATCAAGTATAACAACAATATTATATGGAATTATTATTTATTATACAAAACAACATAGTCGAATTCATTCAACATGTGTTAGTGTTATGAGAGCTAAGCGGAATATCAAAATCTTGAAAAAAATCTTTATTTTTGTTATTATTCTTATAATTGGGGGTTTACCCTATTTTCTCTGTGTTATAATTAATATTGTACGTCCAGTACCATGGTTATTATATTCAATTTCCTATTTATTCATAACATTCGCTATAGCTATTGCTTCAACAGCATATTTATTTACAAATGAACAAATAAAAACAATTTTGTATGCTAAACTTCGCCATCAAATCAACGAAAAACTCGAAACAATATAAAAGTAATTCAAATCAATCGAACTTTACGAAATTGTACTAAGATACAACCAATCCAATTATTACCGACAATCAGTTAATAGTTGATAAAGAAATCTTATTTATTATCTATACATATGTCATTTGATTTATATTTGTAAATAGAATCAATAAAGATTTGTGATCAATTGAATGTAATGACTAAATGTACACAGTCAGAGAGTTTCTTCATAATTGAAAATATGTATTCATTGATTATTCAATTGAATGGTGTGAGTATTCCCTTTCTTTTTAACACTTCCGAGGCGACTCACTTTTCTCAGAGACATTTATTTTCACGTCTAGTTGACTTTCAATAAATGTATTTACTGACTTTTTCATTATGTTCTATACCATTTATTTATCGTCCTGTTCTTTGTATAATCAGATGAGGGTAATTGTGGGTAAATAAAAGATGAATCCACACCCAAACCCTCAAATTTATTTTAGTATAGGATATACAATATACTTTTTATTGAATGTCCAATAATCTTTCGTATCAATTGACTCACATGCATAGATAGTATAATATAATTTATTTTAGTCTTTCATCTTCAGGTGATTGTGAATGAAACAATCTGGAGTAAAGTAGAATTTAATATATATAATAGATGTATTATTGTCTCATTGCAATCGAAACAACGAAGCTTTCATTCAGAGGTATAACACGATTATGTTGAATTATTTTCATAATAATCTTTTTCAGTTGCGGTGTAAAAATAATTGTTAATAAACATAAACCTAGCATTGATATACTAATAAAAAAACATAGAAAAGGAAAAGTCAGAGGGTGCTGCTCATTTGTAATAAAAAACATCACCAGAAAAATCATAGCAGGTATTCCAAGACTTATCACGAAACCAACAGTTATAAGAATACGTCGAATAACAAGTAAATCACGATCTTGTCGTTGTCTAACTACAAGTGTTTGAGTATTTGTTTGACGACGAAGAAAAATTGTAATGCGTATATAAATAAATAATAATACTCCAACCGGACTTCCATAGTTATTTAATACAAGCCAAAACATACTATACACATTTGTAAATGGTACAAAACAATAATAATCGGTTGGAAGATAAACAACAGAATGTAAAAAAAGGATTAAACTCATTAAGATACAACTAAGAACTAATTCTATGAATGGTAAAACAATATATAATTGATATGATTGAAGTCTTCTTATAGTTGGATATATAACTCGAGAAAGACGAAAGAATGCCTAGATTTAGAATAAAAAGAAAAACATTTTTCATTGTTCTAGTTAATTAATAATGAATTACCTGATTCACAAAAGCCCAAAATAAACTACAAGCTAGAGTAGGAGCAAGATATCCTAAAAATATACACCATGATGAATTAAAATCATATCCATATAAGTTTCCTAGAATTGATTGAATATTAAACAGCGCTACTATTGCAATATAGATCGAAAGTAATGAATAAATATTGATACAATGAATAATAATTATTCGATCTTCTTGTTGTAAACGATTCTGATAAAGATGATGAATAACACAAACTAATATAATACATGAAAATAAACATGTTAATGAACAAATAATAAGTGTAGTAAAACACACTATAAATGCAACTTGATTCATTATAATCGTAATAGTTTTGACTAAATATTCTATTATGTTAGAATAAAATATACTAGGTTTATAATTTTACAAGAAGCCACACAATATATGAAAATTTATTTCCGCTTTAATTAAGATCTAAATTTACTTTTAATTATCTCAATGTATTTCATGTTAGCTAAAAAACATGTTCAGATGTATTTTATGTTGTAACCATACTTACAGAATCAGAAAAAAATAGTTTTATATGAGAGATAAATTTAGAAATGATGCTACGAACACAAACGAAAGATATAATTCTATTTTAATCATTTGGCTCCCGCCGACGCTTATGTGTCCAAGTATTACTTGTAAAAACTTGGATTTCTTAGGAAAAGCCAGGAGTTAAAGACCTACGGACTAGCGTGACTGATAGATGAGGTATCTTTTAATCTTTTGACTTTCGTCCTTATCTACAAAAACTGAAACCCCTATAAACATGAAACGTAGAGAGGGTGCGTCTAAACGGAATCCTTGGTTGCATCCTGATGCGTTTAAATAAAGAAACGCCCTCTAACGCATCTTGAATTCGAACGTATTCCATGCGTGGGATGAATACAGACGCGTTTCAGCACATTTAACGAAACAAACGCGTCTAATAGGTACACTTTTCTCATTTAGAAGATCTGACAACGCGTTTTGCTGCGTTTTACTCAATAATCGTGTTCAATATACAAACCTTCCTCTGTTTCTGAAAAGAATCACACGCATCTAATCGTGTCCAAAGGATTTCTGACGTTTAAAATGCGTCTGAATGCGTTTTGAGATCAAAAGAGAAGCACATTCTGAGTACATAATTATTCAAAAACGAGAGAATTTGAAAATCTTTGATGAATAGACGCCTGATACCCAAAGGCTTAATTAATTATATAGAAATAAATACGATACATCACATATTGTGTGCTAGTATTTTATAGAACTTGATCTCGTTTATAATATAAATTATTAGTATAGATCTCATGAATATTACATCATGAAGCATAGCCAATGACGAAAATACCCGTGAAATGACCGTATACTGTCGTAAAAATACAGAGAAAATACGATCGTAATACTGAGACAGGCAATACGTTAAAGTACGACAGAATACGGCACAACATCTGTATACTGTCCGTATACGGGCGTTTACGACCGAGCATGTTTGACCTAGGATAAATTGACTGCAATTAGAAGTCAACGTGATACTCGTGATACACGAAGAATAATTGTCTAGTTTTTTCTACGGAAAATAATTTTCATCGTCTTTATTTTTCCAAGTATAAAGACACTGTATCTGTAATTTTATCTTGGTTCGTGTTAAATTTCTTTATCTCTGTATCAGATTCTATCAGATACGTTTCATTTTTAAAATCCAAATGTTAAAGTAAAGACATAGAATGAATAGTTTCTTTATTTGGACCTTACCCAATTCGTCTTTTCTTTCATTTCATTATATCCATAGAGGCTATAGAACAGTCGAACGACAAATATATCTCCCTCGATTGCCATCAGATGAACATTGGATATCTGTTTCATAAATAAAATAGGGGAAAGAATATGTTCACTTTTGACTAACTATTCACTAGTCTTTTCTTGTTACTAGTAAGATTATATCATTCTGACAAAGACATTATTCATCGACTAGTTTTTTGAAATTTCCAGATTGAGATGTTTACTTGTGCTTGTGAAGCTTGCTATGAACATCGATCACAAATGTACGTATAAACATTATGTCATTAATAAGTTTCTTTCGTTTCTGCGTAGAATTGGATGTATGAAATTTTATGGTACACCCTCAAGAATTCATTTAACAAGTACGGTTCAACAAAATGAACAACAACAAATAACATCTACTCGAATACAAAATTTAAAAGTTAGTTTTTCTATTGTTTCATATTGAAGAAAAAATTTAAGTTAAAAAAGAAATATCTGTCATCTATTTAGACTTCATTAATATCATATTGTGTTGCACCTTGAATCCATAGTTACATTTATTTTAAGCGAGATAACAACATCTGTATAGTTAGGAAAAGAGAAAATGAAGGTAGAATGACGAAATCGAAAAGAATGACTAATATCGATTATAAAATGATTTTTTGTTCACTCCATTCCTTTTTATTTGTGCATAGTACGTATTAAACAGATAGTTTAATAAATCGTTTTGCTTCTGTATTAGATTGATAGATAAAATTTTCTTTTTAGGTTGATAATACTTTGGTTCGCACAAATAATGATGCAGCATACGTCTACCAATATGGGATCATATTTTATGTTCGTCTAATTTATTTGTTTATTGTTCCTGATTTATCGCGGATTGTTTTCATGGAAACAAGTATCACACCACCATCCTTACAACTAACGAATAGTACTGGGCAATTAGATATTCATCCTTCAAGACAAATAAAATTATTTCCAAGTTAAATTATACTTCAATCTTTAAAATAGTTTATTGGTTCAAGGAAATATTATTCTGATTCTTCCATAGTAAATATCTTTATTTACATAAAAACTAAATAAATAATCTCATAATGAAAATCAATCATTGTTACCTATTCAATATAATAAAACATGAATACGAACACACTTTTTGAAACTGTAAAAAAGGAATGAAATAATACTATATAATTAACAAAAGTTTTTCTCATATTTTAATAAGATTATTAGTTTTAATTAATTTCTAATCTGTGTCTATCTCAAATAAAAACTAGTCTTTTTTTCTGGTATTTAATCAATTAAAAATTTGTCAAAAGGACAATATATATATTCATATATATCACATAACTTAATACATTAATATATAGTAGACATACTTTTTGCTCAAATAAAAAATAGTTTGTCAATCAGTTTATTGTGTTCGAGACAGAATGACTACATTCAATTTTTTTTGATCATAAGAAATATAACTTTTTAATCTAAAATAAATTCTAGTTTGCAAGGTAGATATTTAATGTTCGATCGAAATTGTATTTCTTGTTGCTCAATTAGTTCATCTTCATCGTAGATATGAATATTACTGAGTTTGCAAGTCTCAACGTGAACGAAGTATTAGTATATTCACCTCAAAATCTTCACAAACACATTCATATTCTTTAGCTTATTTCTAACCTTCTCCGTAATAACGATACTCTTACACTCACACCCCATTTGGTATCATATTAAAAGTTTGAAAAGGAAATTACATTGGTGATTTTGAAACAAATTCAATATTTTTGTTATCGTCATAGCAAACTAAAAACGAATAAAATAAATATCTCTATATGAAGTATTTAATTACTGAATAAAATGAAATTTGTTCATTAATTAATTTCTTATTTTCATTAATAAATCATACAAATTCAAAAACAATTTTAATAACAAATACCTAAAAATGAAAAACAACTCTATAATTCTTTTCAGAAACTTAAGAATATCTTACTATTCAAATACTTTCCTGAAGACAAATAATATATCATAACTAACAAAAAATCCACAATTAGTTGAACTTTATAATGAATTCGTTCAATTTAGAGATTATTATTTAATACAAATGGTTTGTATATAGACATATAAGGATTATCTGATATTATCGTTTTGATACTACTTAAATCATAATACATTTCAGCAATTTGTGCTTGTTTTCTCTTTTTGAAAATAATAATGTAATAGATCAGAAGAATTTAAATCTATCTTTTTCTTCTCTTGATATTGTGAACATAATTGGTCAATATGATAAGCAAGCCGCAAACATATATCTTATATACTTATCTTTATGAAAAGAGAACAAACTCATTGTTAAGTGATAAAGAAGCAATGAATAAGACAAAAAAAAATTTCTCTTACTTCAATTCATACTCGTATTTGCTTATACTAAAATAAGACATTTTTTTACAACATTAGTAAATTTATGTAATTTTATTGAAAAGAAGAGATGAGAAATACAAAGCAATTTTCTAGTATATAACGCCAATGAATATATGATATAATAATCATTCTCTTTCATTTATCATCAACATAAAGCGTTGAAAGGAAGATATATATATATGACTAGTAAAAAAAAATAGTTCAAAAAAGATGTCAGTCTATATATATATATTAATGCAAAAGAAATTTATGTTTATCTAGAGAATAGTGTTTATTATTTATTTATAGATAGATTCAATATACAAATAAATTGTTTAGTTAATGAATTAAAACACAATTTTTGAATTGAGTTTCTACTAAAATTATTATACCTTAGATACGTTACAGGTGATGACCTTTAGTGTATAAAAGGTCAACATTCGATTTGCTTGACTACGAATAATAATTTTCGTTCTTTTTTTTTCTTCTTTTTTTCGTTCTTTCTCTCTCATATTTTATTCGTGACCATCAATATACGCACGGTCTATCGGTTCATTTATACTATTATGCCTCCGAAATCGAGTAAAAATAGTGCACCAAGTCTTTATAAACAATTTCTTAGTGCTTATATAGGTGCTCATCCTAATGAGGATAAAAGTGTAAGTTAAATCTTTTAATCGGCAAATTCTATTTTTTTGAATCTTAACTTATCTAGGTAAGACATCGTGCTGCAGTAGCTGAATGGAGACAAATAAAATGTAATGAAGAATATGTTAAAGAAAAAACCGAAGAATACATAGAAATTTTCACTCAACTTTTTGGTACTTCGTCAAATGTAGATCGCGAACATATTTCATCATCTATAAATTCACATGAACGAAAAAGTACTCGACGTAAAGCATCAAAAAAAAATAAAGCAGATGATAAATCAAATGAAGATGAAGACGAAGATGAAGATGAAAACGAAAACGAAGACGATGATGATGATGATGATGATGATAAAGATGGTGACAACAGTAAAAAAAAAGTTTATTTCAATATAGAACGTAAACCAGCGAAGAACGAAGTTAATTTTGATGATCCCACAAAATTAGTATCTATACCTGATGTTCCATTAGAACCAGTTGATATGAAAAAAAGACAACCGGCACAACATCGTGCATTTAAAGAATTGAGTTCAATTAATCAACGTATTGCTTCTTTAATACAAATTAGACAAATGGGTTTATTATCAGGAGAAAATAGAAAACAACTTAAACAATTAATGAAAGATAGAAGAAAGAAATCTTATGAATTAAGACGTCTTCAATTAAAAGTCAAAGCTTCAAATAAATATCGAACTAAACGACGAAAACTTGTACGAAGAACAAAAAATTCTATTTTTTATTTCTTATCGAAAAATATGTTTTTTTTTCTTAAATTTAGGTTGAAGATTTATTTGAAACAAAACCGGAATTACGTCCTCAATTAAATAAACTTTATCGTAAAGGTGGTGGCCGACCAAGAATTGAAGAACAATACCCTGATTTATTACAAACTATTGAAGAAATTGCTAAAGTTGGAGGTGCAAGTGATAAAGGACGTCGATCAGAAACTATTCGACCTTGTTTAACATTAGATGATTTAAGAGAAAAACTTAAACAAAGAGGTATTCATGTAAAAAGAACAACACTTTATTATCGGTAAGTTTTAATATATATATAAATTATTGTCTATTTCCATTGAGTACGAGCAACGGAGATGTCCATAAAAACTTACTCACATTCTTCAAGATGAATCAAAGAATATAATGAGAACAGTCGTTTGATTGATAAATATAACATGAGAATAAGTTCGTTCAAGTGCACTCATAGATTATTAAAGTGATAAAAAAAAGTACTTCTGCTATTCGATGTATTTTACAATTTATATAAAATAGATGAGAATATAAATCTTCGTTTGACTACTTATCAACTTGAAATAATATTCAAATGACGATATCCTGATTGTTAATCTTCTACGATATTTAATATAAATTTATTAAAATTTTTAGTCTTTTACCTCATCGTGCTTCTTCTATTGATGGTCGTCGCCATGTATATACTGTACCTGTTCGTCTTCGTCGTGCTCAAAATGATGAACATGGCAAACATGAAGATGGTCATTTTGCTGCTGCAACAATTCGTTATATAAGAGATTTGGCATCTATATTTGGTAATGAATGTGTATTATATTTATCTCAAGATGATAAATGTAAAGTTCCAATTGGTTTACCGGCAGCTCGTGTTCAAGCACCAATGTTAATGCATTTAGATTATCGTATACGTTTACCAGATCATGATTGGACAGTTGCACCTCGTCATCAACTTACACCAAGTGTTTATGCTGTATGTCTTCTATCGGAAGATGGTGATTTAAGTCATTCGGGACCAACATATATAGCAATACGTTCAGCAAAACATGATCAATCAAGTGCTGATACACATGGACTTGATTTTGAACGTCTTGTTTCTTTAAAAGAATTTGAAAGTGTTGCACGAGATAAAACAAGTCAAGTTAAACCAATTGTCATTATAACAGTTGATGGTGGTCCAGATGAAAATCCACGTTTTCCAAAAACACTCGTAGCTAGTATTAGAAAATTTAAAAAATATAATTTAGATGCTTTGTTTTGTCTTACACATGCGTAAGTTTTACTTATTTAAAATAATATGTAAAAAAAATTTTTTGATTTCTTTTTAGTCCAGGTCAATCAGCTTATAATATTGTTGAACATCGTATGGCACCATTATCTCATGATTTAGCTGGTCTTATATTACCACATGATCATTTTGGATCACATTTAAATGATTCAGGTGTTACAACAAATATCGATTTAGAAAAATTAAATTTTCGTAAAGCTGGACAAATCTTAGCTGAAACATGGAATCAAACAATTGTTGATGGTTTTCCATGTTTTGCAGAATATATTAATCCACCAGCAACAACAGAAGAAGAACGAAGACAACTTACTGTTAAATCTGCTATAGATGAACTTTTACGACAGTATGATGATAATGATGAAATAGTATTCATTTGAATTTCTTTTTTTTTTGTTATAAATAGAATTTGTGCTGAAGAAGAAGCTGAAGAAGGACATGAATTTCGTATTTCAGCACGAGATGAATATCATCAAGAAAATTCTCGTCCAGCAAGAGAAAGATTTGGTGAACAACAACCTAAATATGATATCGATGAATATTGGTGTGCAACACATGTTTTACAAACACAATATACTTTGCAAATTATTCGTTGTAATAATATTGAATGTTGTGGACCATGGCGATCAAATTATGTTCGAGTTTTTCCACATCGATTTTTACCAGCACCTGTACCATTTGAACGAACAATTTATGGTATTCGAATGGCAGATAGAGATTATCAAAAAGGACAATTTTATGGTTCATTATTTCAACGTATTCAATTTCATGGAATTGTTAATCAACATACACAAGTAAAAATAGAATTATTTTCATTTAAGAAAATAAAATTTTCTTTATTTTTAGAATGAAATGTTACCATTCGATTATTGTTGTGCATCAGCTAAAAAGGAATTAAAAAAACGAACATGTCAAATATGTAATCAATATATTCCATCAGCATATCGAATGAAAAGTCATTATAAAATTCATGCGCAACATTATGATGATTATAATCATGATCAAGATGACACATTACCACCATTAGATGATAGTGCATCATCAACAGCAACTCCATCTGCATTAAAAACAGAATTATTAGAATGGCTTAGATCAGATTTTGATTCAGAATCACAATCAACTCAAAGTGCTAGTGATCGAGTTACGGATTCTTTAGAAAAATTACGTGTTAATGAAAAGAAAGATTGATATTTTTAATTCTTATTACATTTTAGCTTTTTTTTTTGTTTTTTTTAATGTTGTACCTTTTTAATTAAACGATGACTTGACATATAGATAATTAATGATTTCTTTTTGTGAAATATATTCGATAGATTATAGTGATATTATATCTACTGAATCAAGAGTATAACAGTTTTTACATCCGACGTTTTATTTGAAGTACTATACTGAGAGTTGATTTGTTGCGTCCATGGAGTTATCGACCGATTCGCATGGGCGTGCGTTCCAAGTAAACCAAATGATATGCTCAGATTTTCTAAATAACGTTTTTAGTCTTACTCGCATCTTTTTCTAGTAGTGGTAATCCGTTGTGAAATAGGTTTTATTAATTTTATGTTGGTAAATTATGTATTCAATCCTACACAAATTTTAGAGATCTTAACATCTCCATATGTCTACATTAGTGCAGAACTCGTTAATTCGATTCAAGATACTTAGAGTTAATTTATTAGTTTTTTATCTTTTTATTTCAAGAAAAAATTAAAATGTTTTCAAAATAAAATCAGAAGTGGTTTTTGCTGCTCTCTTGAATCAACAACCTTTGAAACAGCACCAGTTAGGATCATTAGTAGCACTATAATAACATCCACCTCCTGCATTACAAGAACCAGTTTGAAAGCTAGCATTACAACCATACGGGTATTGACCTTTGCATTTACCATCGCAGCTGGCTGTGACAGGTGGTTGGGTAACTGTTGTAGGTGCATTTGTTGAAACTGGTGGATTTGTACCCGATGGTTGTTCATCACAACCTTTGAAGCAACACCAATTTGGATCATTGATAGCGGAATAAGCACATCCACCTCCTTCATTGCAATAACCATGTTGAAAGCCAGAATAACAACCATACGGGTATTGACCATGGCATTTACCATCACAGCTGGTTGTTATGGGTGCTGCTGTAGTAGGTGCGATTGTACTAGAATTTGTTCCAGCTGAACATTTAATTCCTGCTATAACTCCAGGTTTTGGCATTAATTGTGTTCCTGTTTTTAAATAGCAATTGTAAGCCCAATAAACCCACGAAGTACAGGCTGCATTTGCATTGCAAACAATACCGCAACCTACTGCATCTGATGTTAGAGTAGAACTAACTTGCCCACCGCCAATATCACTATCTATATAATAATACCATCCATTAAAGCATGTGGGTGCTGGATCTGGAACTGGAGGTGGTGGTGTTCTTGTATCACATCTATCACCATACCAACCGTCCATACAAACACATGGTTTATTTGTAACGGGTAAATCTCCTCCAAGATATTGAGCAGCACAAATACCATTGACGCATCTAGCAGCACCACAAGTATCAATACTACAATTTACACCAGAGAATCCAGCATTGCACAAACATTCTCCTGTTGCACAATCACAATATCCATTTCTACAACCATTTAGACATTGCTCAGGACAATGTTCAACATTAGTTAATTTTGGTTGAGATTTACAGTTAATAGGTGACATGTCTGGAAAAGCTGTGCAAGCGCCTCTTCCTTTTACTGTAAGATAATTATCTCCAGACCAAATATATCTAAAGAAAAGAATGTTTAGAATAGATAAATTACTGAAAAAAATTACCTTCGATCGTGTTGTGAATGAACTGGATATGGACAATTTCTACCGGCAACAACAAGATCAATTTCATCTCTCTTCCAACGATTTCCAAAAACTGGATCAGAAAATTCAATAATCCAATCAGGAGACACATTGCCTCCACCAACCATTGACAATCTGTATTGATGATCCAAACCAGGAATAACAGTAGCACTATAACCTTGTTTTCTTGTGTCTCCAATTTGAAAGAAATTCAAAGTTACTGAACTTATACGATTGCCGAATTGCCAAAGTTCCAGTTGCATGTTTTGACGATTTCCAGCATTTTGATTAAATGAGAATATCTAAAACATATCAAGACAATATAAAAATAAACGTTTCAAAAACTGATAGTACCTCAAGTCGACGAACAGGTCTCTTGCAAAAAATAGCTCCTAAAATTAGAATTTAATAAACAAAACAGTCTGAAATATTTTTATTTTTTTTAACATACCACCATTATATTTTTGTGCAAATCTAGGCGGATCTTGACCTAAAAGAGTAGCAACAGCATTCGAACTAAAACAGGATGCACCATTATCCAACGCTAAAAGATAAGACCTTTAACAAAAAATAAATAAATAAAAAAAAGTTCTATGAAAGCAAAAAGTCCTACCAATATGGATGAACTATTGAGTTAAATCCAGCTGGAAATAATTTATTTCCATTCAAATTTTGTTCATCATCAGGTCCAAGTGTAAACATAGCTCCATTGTTTGGTCCCCATTGAAGAAGTGATGCATCATCAGGTACAACACCTGTCCATTTCATATTGATAAACACATAAGTTGGCATACAAAGTACTTTGAATTACAAAAATAAATAACAAAAAAAATAAATAAGAAATAGGAATTACCTCCAGTTACTCCAGCATCACAATGATGACTTGATTCAAAATGAACTCGATTATTAAAAACCATATTTTCCAAAATAAACGCTCCATGACCACCAGGCAAACCTAAATTACCTGTATCATAAAATGAATCAGCAATATGAGCTGAACAACCATCTTGAAAATTTTTTGTTTCTTTCCAATAAATTAAATTATTATTATTAATACTTGTATGATGTCGATATTGTAAATCACCAGCACCATATTGACCAACAAATACATTATCATAATCTATATTATTCATAAATGTTGCTGGTAATCCATTATCTTCACCAGTTGCCGTCCATTCTCGACATGTACTTAAAGTTGGTAAACCATTTTTATCAATTGATCTATCAGTTCGCTTTGGAAATACAGATGCAAGTACATATGTACCAAATCGTCCACAACCATGAAAAGTATTTCCTTCTAATCTTCCCATTTGTTGTAAACTAGGACATTCTAAACCATCGACATGACCTCGACCACCACCAAATCCTTGTTCTTGATACAACATACCATTATAATTATTCGCAAAACGATTTCCAATAGCATAATTAGTAAAACTCAAACCCCATAAACCAGCTTGATTCAGTGTTGTATCAGCTTGACCATTGTCTGTACCTTTAAAAATTCAGAAAAAATTCGACTATGAAAATTTTTGTTTTTGAACTCACCTGGTATAGTACATCCTCTTTTTTCTCCAGATTTTGCCCAAGGACATATGGCAACATTATGAAATATTCTATTATACATTTCATTTCCATCTTCAACATATATTGTTGCACCACGAATATCATTGTAAACATTATTCTCTACAGTTGATAAATGTGTTCCATGAATTGTTGTACCACGTTGATGACCATATTCAAAAGCATTACCAATAATTTTACAATCAGGACATTTTTTAACTAAATGTAAATGTACACAGTATTTTCCTAAAATACCACGTTGACCACATTTTTCAATTCTTGTATATTGTAAAGATAGAACAGATCCGGGTCCGACTGCAGCTGTATGTAATCCAAGAGTACATTTAGTTCGTTGAATACTATTCCAACATGAACAATGATCGGCTTGAATATGATCAGGTGGTCTACCACCAGCTACATCATTTACACAATTAACATGTTGAAAATCATCTCCAGTAATGATAATATTACGAGCAAGATTGATAACTTCAGCTTGAATGAGAGCAGACATATTTGCACCTGTAAATACAGTTCTTGATTGAAAATATGATGATATAAAACCAGTAGAAGTTCCATCTTTATTAAGTAATTTAATAGTATTATTATCCTCAAAACCTCCAATCGTAAAATCTTCAGCAGTTCCACTTGAACCTGTTACAGTTGGAGCTATAACAATTCTGTCACCCACTTTCCAACCCTAAAGTATACTAAACGTTTTGTAATAGAAAGAAATATGACATACTAACCATATCTTCAGGTTTGTGTGATAGACTAATTGAAGTCATACCATATGTAGCTTTATTAGCTAGTAAAGACCATGTTCTTGCAAGATATCGACCGCTAACATATATTTTACCAGCATTACAGGAAGCCAATGCACGAGTATAAATTGTTGGATGTTTGAGCCCATTATTTTTAATGTAAATATAACCTTGTTTATTGATTAAATTCATATTGAATTGACCTCCATCAACCTACACAGAATAAATATTTAATTTCTCAATTTCTAATTAAATTCCGAAAGTAAAAATAACTTACAGCAATATAACCAGCACACAACCATTGGTTATTTGAAGATTGACTTGCATCATTCCAAATTAATGATCCACTCACAACCAGCGCTGCAACATTTAAATTGCTATTCATTGTAACTGTAAAACCAGTTGGTATGATACATATAGTATCAGTACCACAAAATATTTGTAATTCAGATGATAACATTGAACTTGTTATTGATTTAGTTGTTGTTACTGTAACTTGATTTTGATTCTTACATGTAGCTGCTAAATCTTGAGGTAGTGGTGCTGAATATGAATCTTTTATAAGAGTACTAAAAGAATCAATATATGCTGTTTCATCTTGTTCACCAAAAGCTTCATAAGTAGCATGTGTTTGAGTTGAACATTGTGAAATAAAAAAAGCTTTTAGAATAAATAATATTAATATCATAGAAATATATTTATTCATCTAAAATATTATATAATTAAATTAAATTCGTCTTTCCTAGTTTTTAGAAATACCTTTTTGATGTTAAATCAAAGTGTGGATCATTAACACCAAGCCAAATATTAACTGTTACTAGAAATGTTCGAATGCGAAGATAAATTATAGTTGTAATTGAGACACTCGTTCGATAAGGATTAATTTAAAATATATATGATATCTTCCAAAACAATATTTTTCTTAATCACTTAAAATTGGAAATTTTTTTCATCACAATGAGACAATAGAAATATTGAAAATAAAAGGAATCTGATACTTTGTTTTTGTTGATATCGTAAAAAGCTTAAGGATTTTTAATGAGTGCTCCTTGTAGTAGAAGGGAACACGTGAAAATATTTTTATCTGCGTTGTTATATTTCTTATTAGTTCATAGAGCAACACTTCCAATTTGATTGATGAATTAACCTAAGAAGAGCAAGTTATAACATGTTTTAATCTTGCTAAAGAGTCTCACAGTTGACTTTGTATAAGATAATTACAACAAACTATCCTTATAGGATTCGTTACTTATATTCTTGGGTATAAAGTTCCCAATACCCTTTATTATTTTTCTATATTTTGATGTACTTTTTAATCCTTTTCTCCTTGTGACTATAGTTTGGAATCCTGTTATTAGTTTATCCTTTTGTCAGACCTTTACTATATCAGAAATCAACACCTTCACCCACACTCTAAATGATATCTAAATATGTAGCAATAGATAGATGGTTGATTGTGAAAACAAAATGTCAACACATAGTCAACAACATGTAAAAAATAAAAATATCTTTTTCTTTAAATATAATAATTTAATTTGAATGAAATCAATTTCAGATACAATTTTTCTTATTTCTTTTCGTCTTTGTTTATGAATGAATTACAGTTGTGTTGTACGCTGATGACGTGGCTGCACTTGAGTTGTTCTCGGAGTGGATGAATATCTTGTTAACACACCAAATACTTCCTTACGAAATCGTTTAGATACGATACAATAACAGTAGAAAGAACACTAAAACGAAAAATAATACATTCATTTACATGAAAAGTATGACAATCATTTACCGTGAATGTCCCATAGACATAACCATGAAAAAAATAGCTAACTACTTGTTCCTGTGCTTGCCGATAAGTACTCTTGGCAAGATTCATTGTAACTAGAGTATAAATTTGTACAATTGCATATGGAACTTGAAATACTAAAAGAGTAATAACTTGTAATAAGGCTAAGCTTATCATTTGTCGTGTAAGTGTCGATAATGAATGACGATCCTGCGTAGTTAATGTTTGTAAATTTCGATACGTCAAAAAACTAAAAACACTAACTATTATGATAGGAATAACAGCATAAAGACAAAGATTAATAAAATATGTATTGTATCGAACAAAATTTGGATTTATAGTAGTACAAATGGATATACTTCCTTTAGTTAAAAGATCGTACAAGATACTATACGGCATTACATGACAAATCCACAGGAATAAAAATCCAACTATATAATATCGTGCCATTCGAACATTACTTTTCTGTCGCCAGGTAGGAGATCGCGAAGAACAGAAATATGCATCAATAGATTGTAGACACATACAAGTAAGAGAATTAAGAAAAGTAATATTAATGAGAGAAATAGCTAATTTGCACCATACACGACTTTGTGCAGTCAAATCGATATTGAAGCCAAGACGAGTAATTTGATTAGTAACACCAATAATCAAAACAAATAAATCAAATAATGATTTTACAAAGACATAAAGTGAACTAGCATTATGTTTCCAGTTTCCTAGTTTAAAAAAGACAATGATATTTATACTATTACCTATTGTACCACTAATAAGTAGAGTAAATCCTAATGCTATAGATATATCTTGAGAGATAACTTGCAGTTGAAGAATAGCAGATGCGACTGTGTTCGTTGACGACATCGTATCTTTCTAAAATGATCTTCTCTAAATAAAATATCTACACATCAGTTTTTCATTATAAATACATAAAATAGAATAGTTATGAGGCGACCTCCTACGTTTCGAACTCTCAACATCTGAAATTGACAGAAGTTTTAATATAAGAAAGTAGAAAGAATGTTTTTGATAAAAATCTAATATTTATTGTTCAGAATCAAGAAAAAAAAGTTGTATAAATAAATATAATTTGTTGAACGTATATTTCTCGTTTGATTTCATGACTCTAAATAAATCTTCATTACCCAAAAGGTATTAATTTAATTCGAGTTTATACAGTCTTTTTATTTTAAACTGGATTTAAAAGCAGAAGAGGCAACACGTCTGGTTATGAAATATAAAAGATACGTAGAAAGAAAAATATTATATCTGCGAGGTATGTCAAATACTTGTTTATAATATCCTATTTTTATTTCTTTCCATGTCAAATGATAATTAAAGGCGTTTTCTACATAAATAAAGTCATTTTCAGCTTTACAATATTTCAACTAAACTTAAAAAAACATTTATAACATTTTAAGATAATATCAATGCAATTATTTTTTGAGGTTAAAATGTGAAACACAAAGAAATCAATTTCTATACCTCTCACAGGTTCTTTATGAGAAAGCATTAGGTTTTATTTCTTGCAATATATATCAAGTTGAGGATGCATATAGCTATCTTCGGTCGAGTATTGCAGGAGAAGATACGCGAAGTAGTTGAAATATTAGATGATGCATTTAATTCATTTGAAGCATCTACCGGATATTCTTACGGTTGATGATTGAATTCAACAAATATCAAAAATGTATTCAGCTATGATGAAACTGGTCTTTTTTTTAAATAAGGCTATGCCTAATAAATCAGTAATATCAAGTAAAGTAGATTGCAAAGATTGTTTTATTATTTTTTTTGTTGTTAATGCAATTGGTGATGAGAAGCTAAAGCCTTTAGTCATCGATAAAAATTATTCCTTCGGTATTTATAGATTTAATACTACGACAAAGCTTCACTCAAACCATCTTTAATACATGATAAAGTAATTTATCGAAATTCTATTCACTATGAATTACCTAGATTACAATTTTTATAGAGTAGTCTTAGATCTAGAGCGATAATATAAATATTCTTCGACGGTTTGAGAAATATTTTTACGTTATATGTGCATACTTCAATTGTTAAACTATCAAGTCGGAAGTATGTTTTGATATTTAAATAAACATTTGCATTTTATATTGTAACTGAAATAATTTTGTTCGCTCCATTGTTTTTCTTGTAGTTATAGAAAATCATTATTTTCTTTATAATATATATTATTCAAAGAAACTTTTTCTCGATTAACTTATTATAGTGACGGAACATTTCTATCTCATTTATAAATTATAAATCAAATAAATTTCCTTTCTCATTGTTTTTTGCCACTGTTATAATTCAGAAATAGTTTTTTCTACTTTTCCCTATTGGTCTCCTTCTATGATTGAGAAACACTCAATATATAGTCTTTAACAACGGCAATGAAACAACTGATACTTGAGTTCAGTAGTTGTTTGAAATGTTATCAATGATAATGAAGTTGACACTATAAATATTACGACAAATTTCTTATCTATTTTCTGTAAGATACAAATTAAAACTAGTTGAATAAAAGTAGATCGATTGATCTAAAATCCACATTGATACTAGAAATGATTGATTCGGACGCAATCTTTGTGTTAGTTTATATTTTATTTATTTTCATATTAGAAAAAGAACATCAGTGATCAACATTGCAATGGTAAACGTTTTTCTGCTGATGATATACTTTATAGTTTATCCTTTGACATTACAACAGCAATATAATTTGTTTCAATCATCTATTCATTTAACTCAATTTGGTACTACTTTTCAGCCTCCAGATCCTATTGAATTATTAAATATTTTTTCAAGCGTTTCATCGTTACTTCGATGTTCGATGTTATGTAATCAAAATCGTCAATGTCGTACATTTGATTATGACCTATCATCATTAGTATGCCGTTTATTCGGAAGTGAATATTCAACTGGAACAATTCTTACTAATGCAAGTTCGTTGACATCAAGAATAGGTGCGATACTTTATAATACAACAACTACTTCACAATTCTATTCAGCCTATAATCAAACATGTGATCAATGCAATACTGGTGATAATCGATATCTTCAATGTATAAATAATACATGCCGATGTCCATTACATACATACTGGACTGGTCAGAAGTGTTCGAATCAATTGTATAACGGAGAGGATTGCACTTCGATGCTATCTTGCCGACAAGATTTGAATCTTACTTGTTACCCTCAAACAAATACATGTACTACAGGTAATAGTCTTCAATATTATTTCTTTATACTCTTGATAAAAATCACAGACTTTAACCACATGGCAATTTGAGTAGAGATGTAGCAGTCTGGCACTTTATATTAAGGTTTATCTTATGACTTTTATATTCTGTAAGTAATAGTCTAGAGAAGTTGACTTTTCTGATTATCAGAATACATCTGAGAGGATTTTGTTTGACTCTTTCGAGAAACTTTAAATGAACAGTAAATCTTTTTATCTTCTATTGGAATGTTATTGTTTATTCTACTTTATAAATATAGTATGTAACACATTTGGACTTCAACAACCACCTGTTCTTTATAATACCAATCCAGGTCCACAATCAGTCATTTCTGCTGATTTCAATAAAGATGGACATTGGGATTTGGCAATCACTGATTATTATGCAAGTTCTATCTCAATACTCTTGGGTATTGGCAATGGATCGTTTGAGCAGCCTGCAGCGGTTTATGGATCTGGCGGCACTAATCCCTTTTGGCTTGTTTCTGAAGATTTTGATAAAGATGGAAATCTCGATTTGGCTTTGTGTAACGAAGGATCCAATAATACCGCTATTCTTTTGGGTTATGGCAACGGATCTTTCCAGACGGCTGCAACTTTTAATAGTGGAGGAGCACTTCCATCGTCGATCGTTGCTGCTGATTTTAATAATGATAACATAACTGACTTATCTGTGACAAATACAGGTTCGGATTATATCACCATTTTTCTCGGTTATAGTAATGGTGGATTCCAAACACCTGGAACATCTTATGCAGCTTATTCATCTCCATCAATTTTAATTAGTGGAGACTTCAATTCTGATGGTAAGATAGATCTTGCCGTAGTATGTCGAAATAGCAATCAACTACTCATTTTTCTTTGCTTTGGTAATGGATCTTTCCAAAACAACGCAACTTATACGACAGGAAGTACTCCCTATTCAGTTAGAGCGGCTGATTTCACTGGCGACTCAATACTTGATTTAGTTGTTGCTAATTTTGGTTCCAACTCGGTTAGTATTTTTATCGGCACTGGTACAGGTGAATTTATTGCGGCTACTCCTGCAACATATGCTACAACTAGTTCTAGCCCTGTTGATATTGCTATACAAGATCTAAACGGAGATTCAAAAATGGATCTTGCTGTATGCAATCAAGTGGGAAATACGATTACTGTTTTTTTAGGAAATGGAAATGGTACTTTTGGACAAGGGCAAGATTATTCATCGACGGGACAAAAATTACAATCAATTATCGCTCAAGATTTTAACAAGGATGGAAAATACGATTTGGCTGTGACCAGTCAAAATAGTAACACACTAGCCATTTTACTAACACAATGTTTCTAATACTAATTATAATTTCGAATTGATACAAACTGATTCAAATGAACATTTTTCTTTTATGAACTTTCTTACAACGCTTTTGATGTTCTATATTAATTTTTATTTTTTGCTTCTTGTATCTTTAGTCAAGCAATCACTTTCAACCTATTTGTTCGCTTTCGTTTTATCTTATTCTTTTTTTCTTTGGCTGTTAGTCCATACAAAGTCATTCAATATTAATCTTGAATATTGACTGTTCACGTAATATACATTTTTCTTGTGTTATTCGATGTAACTGATAAGAACATCCACAAAAAGGAACGAAATAGGATGAAATATTAAGCACTGAAGTGAACAGCCATCATATAAACAAGATACGATAACAAATCAATTCAACTCATCCAATACTCTCCCAACTTACACTCTCAAAACGGTAGTATCGTCAAACTCTAAAAAGATGATCTTTATTATCGAGTATTTCATTTAACAAACTCAAGAAAATCATATCTGCAGATGCACTCATTCCTTATGCATTTTTATATTTTCCTGAAGAATATAAGACAAGTGTGATGTAATTAATCTAACTACTCAAACTTGCACAAGTGATTGCGTAGTATTCTATCTTCTTGCATTTCATATGAAGCATGTAACGTATATTTTTTTGAACTGTAAAAAATACATTTTATCCTGCTTTTTTTTATGAAACACGAACTAAAAAAAGTATGCACATCTTTCATTCATATATTATATTTATATAAAGATTATAAAATTAGTTGTATCATATGGTTTAGGATCATTCCAAATATATGCTGTTAAAATAGTATCATCTGTCTTCTTTGCTCCAGCTCGTGTACCTCCAAGTGATCGATAAAACTGATGCGTTGATTCTTTATCAAGTGCCCAAACAAGAAAATTTCTCGGATGAAATCTTTCAAGAACAGAATTCCAAACAATTTTCCATAATTCTCGACCAATACCACGATGTTGATATTGTTGAAGAATAAATATTTGTCCAATTTCACAATCATATATTTGATCATTTACTGTTCGAGTACATTCAAGTGTTTCACGACCACAACACCATCCAATCATATTCATATTCTCATTCTCAACAACATAATAATAAAATCGAGAATCTTTTACAAATCTCGGTAGCCATCTATCTAATAGTTTTTGTACATCATCTTCCGTTGATGGACTTTCTAAAACATCATTCATTAATTTAATCATGGTAAGAAGATCATCTAATACGGCACTTCGAATTGTTATCTTTTCCAGTTTTGTCATAGTATTTATTGTGTCATATACTGTGAAAGAATCGACTATCTATCTATATATATATCAATATTGCACACGTGTTATCGCCAACACATCATATATGACACGTCACCATCAGAACCAAATAAATCACGATAAGTCATTTTTATTCTTCGCACTACGTCTGATAAAAATAGTTTTCATCAAAAACAAATGGATGAAATTACTCATTTGTAGTTTGAGTATTATAAAATATATTCCAATAAAAAAATAAAAATATCATATGTATTTTTGATGCAGTTCACTCAGTTAATTTATGATAGTGTGGATGTCAGAAATAATAAGACAAGATACTAAATTAATATGAATAAGAATCTTGAAAAATATCAAGATAAATTACATGTCATATGCTATAAGTATTATCAAATTAAAATACGAATATGTAAGAAGCGATATTAAACTGATAATTTACATCAAATTATTATTTTATTGTAAAATTGAATAATTGATTCTGAAATTGTTTTATCTATTGTATCCACTAATGAAAACGAATCCGAATCTGTCAAGTATTCTCTAACTAGATTTTTTCGAAATATACATCACATTTGCCGAATATTTAAATATCTATCTAAAAAATATTATACATATGACTTTTTCGAACATATTGTCTATGAATAAGGAGAATTCAGGTGTATGAAGCACAATAACGAACAACAATATATTCATATAGTATTTGTACTTCTTACATAATGTGAAAATGTTATTGAGAGTGAACATCAGGTACTGATTCTTACACTTGATTAAATAATTTTGTCTTGAAAAACGTTTTAAGAAAATAAAGTTATTTTATTGCAGAATATTTCGATGAAAATGAAATTTTTAGAGTATGTATACTATCTTTTGAGGGTGTGAATATATCTATCCTCTCTTAATCCATACCCACATCCACCCTCAAGATGGTTGAATAGGACATCAATAAAAAAGAACTTGAAACAATGAAAAGTATTTTCTATAAAGTCGATATATTAGGCAGTTGAAACTGATTTATTGTAAAAAAAAAATCACAAAACTTTATTTAATAATTAATTAGCATAGAAACATACGGATTAAGAAGAACAAATCATTTCAAGACGATTATAACAATATCTAAAAAAAAGTTTTTATTTATTGCTGAATTTTAGTTTGTTAAAGAATAAACGAAGAAGAAATGTCCAAATCTATATATTGAAGATAAGAGAAATATTTATTGAATTAAAAATAATTTTACCAACAAAGATCATATGTAAAGGAAACAAAATAATAACATAATTTTTGAAAAAAAATTGTTTTTTCTATTCTTTTCTTTTCTTTTGTTTATACAGAACAAAAAATTATTTCCAGGAAAATAGAAAAAAATATGAAACTTATTTTAGTTTTATTACTACACAATAAAATTAGGCATATTGAAAAGCAAAACATTTTCTAGAAGAAGAAAAATTACAAAAGACAAGTAATAAAAGAAATAACATTCTTCTCTTATTAACTTTTTTTTTTTGTTATGAAAGAAGATTTGTTGATATAACACATACTATCGTATGTATATTGTATTTTAGAGAAATTTCTCGATCTCATTTCAGTTTTAAAAACAGTAATTTTCTAATTCATTTAGTTTTTATTGAAAATAATTATGAATCAGTTCGATGGTATGAACAAACTTATTTTCCTAATCTTTTCCTGATTTTATTACGTAAACTATTTATTAAGATTCACTCGATACTTCATCTATTTGATTTTCTTTTTTGGAAAACAAAACATGATGAAATTCAATTCTAATATGAATCATGACTTAGTCAAAACTAAGAGTAGGTGTATTTTTTTTATTCATAACTTACTTCGATTCTCTGGCCATTTTTAAAAAAATCTTTCTATTATTTTGATTACTTTTTTCAATTTTGTTATTGTGAGTAAGAAAAATACAACAAAGAAGAAATTTTAATTACATAAAACTGTTTATGTAGAAAAAAAAATGCGTGGTATAACCATGGATTGGGAGGCGGATGGCGAAAAGATTTTTATTTTTAAGTTGATGACTGAAAACATTCATTATAGTTTTTTTCCATGTAAACAATGGACGTCTTGTGAATATTGTTTACGGTAGGAAATCTAGTATGCGATAACTATATATTGTTTAAGATTTAATATAATCGATTGTTTCAATACGAATAGTTTCCTAAGTGATGCATATTTTTATTAGATCTTCATTATGATTCATATGACTTTCTCTTTGAGTTTTTCTTTTCTTCAACAATCAATCCCTCTCAATATAATTAACATTTATTTTCAATTGAGAAAATATAAAATATAAAACTTGCTTCTTCTTCTTTTCTTTCTACATTTTTTTTAAAATTGAACCAAAATAGAAAATAGTTTTCTACTGATAGATCTACATTACATATTTTTATTTGATTAAGATTGACAAGCTTAAATTCGGATTGTCTGAAAATGCATAAGAATATTGAACAAAAGGTTCATATACTTATAGTCTTTTAATTATCGAATAATCTCAAATAATATGCTTTCTACTTGTCTCATAATTCTATTCGGCTTTAATAATATACTACTATAAGAAGATTTATTTTGAACTATTTTTTTGTACATCGTTGTTGTTCTATTAATTAACATAGTCAATCAATAATATGATATATATAATATTTTATTTAGATATTAATCATCATGGCTGATAGATATTTGAAATATCTTTCGATAAAGTCAATTATTATTATTGGGTAAGAAGTATTATATTTAATTTATTAGATTATATAGTAAGAATAACTTTTGTTAGATTTTTAATTGATAAAATCTTGGCTCAGTCTATCTGTCCAACGGCTGTTTGGGCATTGAATGGGACGACAATGGCTGGTTCATCAACAGGAACAGCTGGCACCACATTGATAAAACTTGATACTCCAGTTGCTGTTATTGTCGACAACAACAGTAATTTTTATGTGGCTGATAGTGGAAATTATCGTGTGTTATTATTTCCATCAAATTCAACTATAGGTAAAACGATAATTAACGGCAGCTCCGGTACTGGACTTAATCAATTCATGGAGAGTAAGTATATATATAGCTTTTATTGTTATTTTCATTGCAGTTTTTCACTTTTTTCTAGTCGATGAGATGCATACAGATGCCAATGGTAATATCTATATACTGGATGGGGTCTTGTCACGTGTAACAAAATGGACACCAGGATCTACAAGTGGAATTCTTGTAGCCGGTGGTGGTCCTTTCATTGATTATTATGATGGACATGTGGATAGCATGAGTGGACCTGTTGGAATGTTTGTTGACCCTCAAGCATTGTTTATTTGGATTGCTGATTCAGACAATGATAGAATTGTCAAATGGGTAAATTCAACTACAGCACTAACAGTCTGTGGTAGTTACGGTACAAACTCTGATCAATTTTTTTATCCATCAGCATTATTTGTCGATACAGCTGCTGGAAATACACTTTATGTGGTAGATTGTGGAAACCAGAGGATACAGATGTGGCTTCCAGGCGCAACTAGTGGACTAACGGTGGCTGGAATAACAAGTTACTATGGTACTAGACTCGATCAGCTGTGGTACCCATCAGCAATAGTTGTCGATAGTAACCAGAATATGTTTATTGTGGACACGGGCAACTCGAGAATTCTAAAATGGAAAGTAGGTGCAAGTTCTGCAGTGAACATAGCTGGAACTAATCCAGACGGAGGAACATTGTCAAATCAACTTAACAATCCAGGTAGTATTAGCTTCAGTTCGAATGGATCACTTTTTGTTGCTGATACTTCTAATAATCGCATACAAAGATTTATTATTTCTTGTCGTAAGATTTGTTTAAGATTAATAATTTTATTTTAATATATTGATATTCTTTTTCTACTATAGCGATAAACATATCAACTACAACTGCTGCATCAGTAGTAACTACAACAAGTAAGTATCATGTTATTTTAAGCAGAATAGACATCCATTTTAATATTAATCTGTCCAATTTTTTTCTGATTTTGAACTGATATCTTACATGAATAAATAATATTTCTTATCTGGAAGATAAAGATTTTTATGATAAATTATTTAATATATCAATTAAAATCATTTTTTCTTTTTATTAACATATTATAAAGTCTCTGTTTCAGTTTTTAAAAAACAGTTAACGCGAAATTAAGGAAATTTTTTTCGATGAAAATCGTTTATTGCTTTCATAAGAATAATAAAAATTTAATATATTGGTCTTAATTATTTGATCAATAATAACGACCAGATAATTCCATGGCGAACAATAAGTTATATAACTTGGACACTAAAAATCAGATAGATGTCGTTTAAATAACAACTTTTTTATTGAATTACAAGAGAGAAGTTTATAGTTCTTTAATTATCAATACTAAAACTTTTATTACTAAATAAATAACTATATTTTTCACTTATCACTATATATAAAATAAACTCATAAAATGAATATTAAACTATGTATTTGTTTTTTACTAGTACCTATTTTGACTTCAAATTGTGCAATGACTATTTGGGCATTGAATGCAACAACAATTGCTGGTTCACCTATAGGTCTTTCAGATCTCACTTCAACATTGTTGACTACTCCTGAAGGCGTCTGGATTGGTAGCAATGATTCGATGTATGTTATAGATTGCGACACATACTGTCGTGTGCAAATTTTTTATCCTGGTAATTTGGAAGGGATAACAATCATTAATGGCACCGCTGGTACCGATCTCAATCAGTTCAATGGCAGTAAATAATCTCAGATAATTTAAATATAACGTATATTTTCTTTAATTTAGTGGATGGTATAAATGTGGATGTGAGTGGTAATATCTATATACTTGATAGCTATAACGCTCGTATTACAAAATGGGTCCCAGGAGCATCGACGGGTATACTTGTAGCCGGTGGGAACGGATTGGGCACTTCACTCAAGGCACTAAATTCTCCTTCCGATTTTTTCGTTGAACCAAATACATCCTATATTTGGATAGCTGATACATCCAATAATCGAATTGTAAAATGGATGAATGCATCAATTGGAGTACTTGTTGCAGGAGGTACTCGTGGTACAAAAGCTAGTCAATTTGATGGTCCAAGCGGATTATTCGTTGATACATCTGCTTCGAATACACTTTATGTAGCAGACACAAATAATCACCGAATCCAAAAATGGCTTTATGGAGCGAGCAATGGAACAACACTGGCCGGAAAAACAAGTATGCCTGGTACTGGACTAAACCAGCTTAACTCTCCACAGGCTTTGGTTGTAGACATGAGTGGATCAATGTATATCGTTGATTTGGGAAATAATCGAATCGTTTTATGGTCATTAGGATCTACATCGGGTATACTCATTGCTGGTTCAAATACTTACGGAGTATTGCCATCTCAACTATATGCACCTTATAATATCAGACTTGATTCAACTGGAGCTCTTATTGTCGTTGATTACGGCAACAATCGTATTCAAAGATTTCCTGTTCTTTGCTGTAAGTTTAATAAATAAATTAATCGCTTTTTTAATAAAAATGATCAGGCTACAGGTTATTCATTATACTGATTCTGAATATGAACATACGAAATTCCCTTCGGCCTTCATCGATGATTTTCTAGAACATCGGTTATCAAAAATAATAAACTTTTTACTAGCTCTTGTCTTTCATCTACTCCGATTATAGAGTGTATTGAATTGCCTATACAAAGAGAATAACTGTTTTTGTTTAAACAGAATTCACTCTTACAGATAAACTGATATGTTCTATGATCTGAGCAACTAAAACAAACATTTAGTAAAAATTTTGTTATTTTTGATAGCCTGCGTTCTAGAAACCCATCCTATATAGGTTTAGCTTACAATTGAACAGAAATGAAAATTATTTAATATTTAATAAAGAAAAGATAATTTTTATTCACAATTTATTTTACTTAATCATGCTTTTTTCTATTTCATGTTTTCTAGCGCCGAATATAACGGCATCATCAGCAACATCAATATTAACCAATGCAACGTCAAGTGCTGTTACATTACAAAGTAAGATAGAATACATTGATTCAAAAAAAATATCTAAATAATATGATCATGTGTTTTTGTTATAGATACAACAATGGCTGTTCCACTTACTACCAATATTCCAACAGCATCAGCAAGTAAGTAGAAAATTATTTGAAAAGAATAAGTAACTAGAAATAAAAGTATATATAAAAAAAATGTAAACATTAGATGTGTTAATTTGTCTCGCATATAGAATATAGATTTTAAATATGACTTGAGTTTATTTATTATACTAAGATATATCCAAGAAGTGATCTTGTAATATTTATTTTAATTAAAGAGTATCTGTCAGATAGTTTAGAAGAAAAAAATTGTTTTAATATGTAAAAGCATTGTATAAAACTATAGTAATAGGATGCAACTAAGCGTTTATAGCAACGCACTTTAACAATGTGGAATGAATAGAAAATAATATAATGAAGTGATGCATTTTTTTCATGATGTATACTCATTTGAAAAGTTATAAAGATAATTTCAGTATATAATATTTAGTTGATGCTTTGTTTATAATCTGAAATATCTAGTTAAGATTGATAAGATTATATGATGAGAAAATATACTACAAACTACAATTGGCGTGTACATCTTCTATATTTATAGTAAATCAGTGTCTCTGTATTTCTTCTAGTTAACTGAACACGTAGAATTTCAAAAGTTTGTTTTGTAGATATTTAATTAAATATTCTTTTTCTTTCTATGTTGACAATTTCTCTTTAATATTTTACAGTAAAAAACTGTATCTCAATAAGAAGTTTTTACTTTCTTCTATTCTATTTAGTATTATTATACTCGATAATGCTATGCTAG